ATCCCCCTTGTAACGGGGCCCGGGCGGGGAAGTTGTACTACAGAAACGTGCCGTACCCGCGCGCCCCCTGGGCGAGTGGGGTGGGGGTCGACCACGAGGTGGTGACAAGAATGAGTGTGTTTGAAGACGTCAGCCCACCATCAGCACCCCTCCTTCTCCTCCTCCTGCTGCCATTTCATCCTGCCCCGCCCCGCTAACTGAGCCAGTCACTTCCAGCCATCTCCAAATGCCCTCAGAGCCCATACAGAAGGACACGCGGCGAGGACATCACCACACCATAAAACACATTCCCTACCCCCCATTACCCCCCCTTGCTCTCCCCTGCTCTCCTACCCCTGTCGTACCCACCAGGCAGCACCCCGCCAGCACCCGGACCAGTTGCTAGACACCCAGAGCCCCCAGTCGGCCCCGCAGCGGAGTCTTCGCCCGGGCCCTCCTGTAGCTGATGACGCTGCTGCTGCTGCCCCTCCCCCTCATGCTGTTGCTGCTGCTGCTGCCGGCCACTGGCCGATTCGAGTTTTCGCTGTTCCTCCTTCTCCTCCACCTGATTCATTTTGTACGCACTTCCTGGAGGTATTTTTGTTGCTTCTGGGCCCAAGTCACTAGCGGCAGTAGCCGGACCCATCCCAGGAGCATAGACCCCCGCCGCGGGTCCCGCTCCCGCTCCCCCTCGGGGGCTCAGGGCCGAGGGAGCAGGCAGGTCGGGAGTGGCCGGGCCAGATACACGCTTGGCTGTGTTCTGCTGCTGCTGCTGCTGCTGCTGCTGTCCATGTTGTTGTTGTTGTTGTTGTTGTTGCTGCTGCTGCTGTTGCTGCTGCTCGTGAGAGCCATCTGTCTGGCCGTCTGCTGCTGCTGCTGCTGCAGCTGCTCCTGCAGGTGGTGGTGGTGGGAGAGTGGCTTGCTGGAGTTTGCGTTGCTGCTTGTCCCTGTCGGATTCCACCTGGGGTCACCGGGGCGGGTGGGTAAGGTTGCGAACGGAGGGGATACCAATGTACGGCAGGGCGGAAAGCGTACAGCGGTGGAGCCGGTTGATGAATCAGAATTGCTCTGCAGGAGGCGTCGTGGCGGCGCTCATTTCGTTGAGTGTGCGTCGGCTAGGTTACATGCATTCATAACGATGTGAACCTTTAGACTACCGCAAGTTCATCGGAGAGGGAGGTTAGAAGTACCTCATCCTTAAGGCTGAATAGTTAGGGAGCCCAAGCACCTGCTTATCTGTTGGCGGCTAACTAGGGAACTAAAATGTCGGACCGCCGTACGTTTTACTTTATGGGTCGCGTTTGCAGAGAATTTTCATTTGGAAGTTCACGCACCAGGATGTCGAATAAGAGGGTAGGACTCCGTTTGAAATGCTGGCCCGGTATGGCAGCAGCCTTCTCGGTCGATTTGGCCACTCCCGGACTTGTTGACGCCGGCATGCCCTCTTGTGGTAACATCTAAGTCCTTAGTGTTGTGATGAAGGTATGCTGTTATCTTGTTGACTTTTAGTAAAGGAGCGCAAATACAAAATCGTTGGCTGACATTCAGCAGCCCTAATAGGGACGGCGTATTCGCGTTCCGCAAGATGGTTTCAACAAAGATAACATTATAGTAGGGACTCGCAATCACTGCCAAGGGCACCAGCGCCCCTACCGGAAGGGTCACTTTGGCCCGCCGTACGCGGATTGGTCTATCCAGATAGTCGAGAATCTAGGAGCACAGCTGTCGTGGCATGTCCCTGTGCAGTTGCAGCTTTAGGATGGTTTGCTCTGGGAAGTGGAAGTTTGCTGCGGCATTAGCTGCTGCAGATCTCCTCCCACAACGTACAGTAGGAAATCTCATTTGAAATATCCAAGCTGTAATGCCAATATATCAACTTGCTCTGTCCCACTCATTATCTATCTGCAAGCCATGCTTGTAGAATGCTTACTGTCTGTCGTCAGGAGGTCAATAGTTTATAGTCACGCCCGATAAATGGTAGAGCGGCAAGGGTGAAAGGTGACTATATGACTCTTCGTTGAACGTGATGTGTTAACTGCAGAACAACACCTGTACTTTGAGCAACAGATTAAGGCAACAAAGGGGCGAAGTAAGGACAACCCCCCAACACATGCCGGCGTATGCACGGTCAGGCATGAACAATCCCTTTCATATGTGACCCGAGCTCACCCTACAGAAATAAAAGCACCAAAAAAGCTTACCCCGGTGCCCACAAACCCAACCGCGCTCACACGCTGTACAGAGGCTATCCATCCCGTATTTGGTGGCGCCACGTACGACATGCACACCTCTCCCGTACATAGTAGCTGAGCACCGTGCAAAAGGGTTTCTGTGCTTCAGTGCTGCTGCGCCGCGGTCCTCCACAGACCTCATAAGCCATAAACGTATCCACCAACCAGAAAGCATTTCAGCAGGCTTTACCCCGAAGGACCGGCTATAGTCATCTGTATCATATCACGCCATTTCACACCGCGCATACCATGCCCGCCTCATGCTCCCACACGAGTCATCCGTCACATTCCTTCTTCTTCCTCCTGCTACATAGCCCTACACACATCACACACGGTATTATCATCTCCCGCAAAGAAAGCAGGGAGTCTCCGCCTGAAAGGATTATTCCACCGTCACCCCCCATTTCCCCTTTCCCCTTTAGAAAGCGCCAAATCGGACCCGCCCGCCCCCCCTTCGCTTTAGTTGTTGTCAGTCGTCAGCCCCGTCACCCCGTTAGCGGCCCCGGTGGTGTCAGCGGAACCGCTGATTTCTTCCCTGCCACTGCCACTGCCCTGCCCTAGCCCCCACCCAGCCCCCAATCCGGTTCAGGCCCCGCCACCGCCGTCGGCGGCTGCGGCGCCGCCAGTCCTATGTCGTACACGGCAATGCGCATCTCCGGGAACAGCTCCGTCAGTGGTGGCGGTGACGGCGGCGGTGTGGGCACATTTGGCTCCCGCACCTCGCGGCAGTCCAAGCCACACAACGCCAGCTCAGAGAAAAACTAAACGAGGGGTCGAGGGGGAAAACGGAGAGGGATGGGCTCGCGGATGTCAAGTCGGTGATGACCCCCGAGAGGAGGAAGTGGGGAAGGGGAAGACGAACCACGTGAACGAGTGAAGCTGATGTCAAGGACAATAACTAACCAGTCGCGACGTGTGAAGGAGGAGTCCTCGCGGTGATGTAATCGCGACGATAGCGGAAAACTACCTACCTAGCTGCTAAGACTAAAATAAAAAGAGCGGAAAGAAAGCAGAAAAAAACATCCGCACTATTCTAAAGGTAAATGTAAAGTCGGTGAAGAGAAAAAAAAACACCGTAAGCTGACGTGAGTTGAAAGAGGAAGACGTGAAATAAGCTGGAAAAACTTTATACGCTGGCCTGGCGGCGGACGGGAGGAAGGGGGTTGCCCGCCTGGGGTTGCGGCAGAGGCATGTATGGTGGTGAAGGGAGGCGCCAGGCCCAAGCGTGCAGTATTTCGTGCAACCTTAGCTTCTTACCGTTACCATACACTACCTCCCAAGAAACCCAAAGTTCAGCTGTAGCTGCGGCGGCGTTCGAGTCCGGGGATGGGAGCTTAGTCGTTTTCCCCTCGTGCGTGTGTATTGGGGGGAAGTAGCCATAAGGGACGTCTGAGAAGCCCGAGATTGGACACTGTACGACAGTACAGGGTTAGCCATACGGGGTGTACCTTCACCCCTAGTCCTCCACAGGCCTCTTCTTTATTCCTTCCCCTCTCCCCGGCCCCCACCCGCTTACGCGGCGCAACTACCGCTATAGCGGGTAGAGCCACCGCTACTAGCACGTTGCACCGGCCGGCACGTTCTGGAGGGCCCGCTGTAAATGACCCAATGCAAGAGTTCAGGCCCAACCTGGCAACCGGCATGTAGCGGGGAAGGAAGATGTGAAGCCTCTTCCCCAGGTGGCTCGTTCTGTGCCAGGGTTGTGGCAAGTGCTCTGCGTCAGTCGCTCTCGGTCGTTCATACATCCGTACCTGCATGTCGTGCGTGTCGAAGCGGTGCTTCGTATGGCAGTACAGAATACGGGTATCTGGACCGGCCAACGCGCGCATGACCTACAGTAAGGAGCGAGGGCGGCCGCGAGGGGGCGGAGGGGTGTGAGACCTGACGGGCCATCATGGGGTCATTCACCACCCGGGATTGCAATGTAGGGCCCCCGGTACTCGCGGCTGCATCCAGGGAGGATGCGGGCCCTTGTGGGTCTGGGGAGGGAGGGGGAGAAGGGGGGGAGGGGGGCGGGGGGAAGGAGGAAGGGGAAAAGGGCGCAGCGAACCAACCCGGCAGTGATCTCAACCACCCATCGAGAACCCTCAAGCCCACCCACTAACGCTCGCCACCCAGCCATCCCCTCAGGCACCACATCGGGTCAACTCATCCCCCCTTTGGCCCCCTCACCCTGGGCAGGCACTCGGCCCCCACGGAGTTGTAGACCAGGTCGCTGCCCAGGATCAGGTCCCACTGCAGGGCATGCAAACAACAGCCACCACCGCCACCGCCACTGCCACTGCCGCCAGCAGCACTAGCACTAGCACTAGCAATGCCCTCACCGCAACAGTAGCTACCCGCAGCATCACGGCTGGCAGCTCCACCTCGGTTGACATATCCTGCAACAACCCCATTCCCACCAGATGTCCCACCACCACCACCACCAGCAGTAGCAACACCCTCCGACCATGTCTCCTGATCTGGGCCCCCTTCCCTGGGTGTCGACTGGGAATTGAGATCCAGATCCAGATCCAGCCGGTCCTGGTCCTGGACCTGCAGAAGAGGGCGCTGGAAGTCGTCCGTAGAGCCGGCTCGCTGAGCCCGGTCGTAGTACTGCCTCCAGTCACATGGCTCCGCCCTGACCACCCGCATTCCCGGTAGGTGCGTGTTGAGGGCCAGGTTGTGTCTCAACCAGTCCAGACCGCGCCCCTCCTCCTGCTCGGTAAGGACCACCTGGGTGGTGACCCCCGGGGGGAGAGACGGGGGAGGCAGGGAGAGCTAGGTGAAGGAAAGATGCACTGATCACACGCACACACCCTCCCCTCCCCCTCCTCGCCCCTCCCCTCCTCGCCCCTCACCACTTCAGCGGCAGGCAGGTTCCGCGCCAGGGTCATGCCCAGCCAGCCCAGACCCGCACCCAGCTCCAGAACCTTCAACCCCGGCCGGAACAGCCCCAGGTCGGGGCCCACCTCCTCCAGGAAGGAGCACAGCCTGGCAGGTGGGGTGGAGGCATTTGCGGTGAAGCGCGGTGGCGGAAGGGGTATCCCGAGACACGGCCAGGGAGATTGGGGTCGGATTGGATGGATAGGGACAGGTAGGATAGCTAGGTGGTGCGGGGTGTGTGCGTGGGTGTGTGCGTGGGTGTGTGCGTGGGATCGGGGGGAAAGGGCGGCGCAGAGGGGAGAGGAAGGGTGGGATGCAGAGGGACCGGGCGGCAGGAATGGGGGAGGAGAAGAGGGTGTTGCCAATGTAGAGGATGGGGGTGTTACCTGCGAGCTGCGTTCCATACACGGCCGCCGGTGGTGGTTAGGGCGGCGTGCTCCGTCCTGATGTCGTAGACCCAGGGTCGGCTCATTGCGGGTGGGATCTACGGTTTCATGACTGTCAGTTACTTGAATCCGTAAGCTGCTCTAAAAGGAATTACCTTGACATCATTATGAGCTAAGGCAGCCGACAAGTACTCAGCATTTCTCTATTGGTCCTTATCGACAGTTCACCATCCTGGAAATAACTGGTATGAAATAACTAATTTGGTGTCGGGGCTTATCTTAGGATAGGAACACCGGATGACGATGTTATGTGCCAGCCTGACTAACCGCAAACGAATTGCCGATCAAACTTCTGGAGCTTTTTCATATGAATCACCTAGTTTTCAGTGCTTAAACTACATAAATTTATTGTCTTTCTGCCTGTCAGGCTTGCCTTCTCTACGCTCTTTGTTGTTGTAAACACTGTGTTAGCCGTCCTTGAAATATCCCCTGCAAATCGTACTTAAAAACGCATGTGTTTCATTTTCGGCACGCTAGGCAAGGAGTTTCAACAGGGCCGTTGCTACGATGGTCACCTGCAACTGTCTCTACGACGAAATGTAGGACACCGTGGCCTGAGTCCATATGCCTTCAATGCGAGAAGTGAAGTATTATGCTTCCTACAAACATTTTGCGCGCTCCTGTTGGTGTTTACAGACCAGCACCTCTACAAAATAATTGGAAGCGCCTGGTCCTCCAAGCGGGCACTTTGACCAGCATGGTTTTACCAATAATCGCGATAACATATTACTTTCGTGATAAATTTTTCACTGCAACGTCTGGACTGGATTTAGCACAGTACAATTTCTGCTAGGCAACACTGTTGCAAAGTCATCATCTTGAAATGATCTCGCCACGCAGAATAGGTAAACTAGTAGCTTTTTTTCTGAGCCTAAATCTTTTGGCGCTGGACAGCAACGCTCTAGCGCATCGGGATGCAAAAACTGCCAGGAACGCTTCCCGCCGCAAGGAGCTGGATCTTCCACGGCGCCTCAATGGCAAGCGGCTGCTGTCGATGCATGGGGATGTGGGTTCTCTCGCCCTGACCACAGCGACCCACCCGGACGTTGGCCTCGACCACCTCTTCCAACCGCTCAAACTGGACTGCCATCCCGACTGCGTCAAGCGAGGGAACTGCAACGCCGAGGAGGGCCGTTGCGAGTGGGTATGGGACTGGGTTCTTGCCTAATGGAAGAGGGAAAGGAGAGGTTGCACAACGGGACAAAGGGGGGTCAGCCAGCACAACGAACGGGTTCCTAAAGCCTTGGATTCAGCGCCAAGCCCCCTCTGCACCGCATGTCTGCCGTCCTCAAAGCTGCTGGAGCCCCTGGGTATCGCAATCCGCCAAGACTGGATGAAGGCCACGTGTGGTGTGTGTTTTGCACGCGCGTGGCTGCTATGGCGTCAGGGGGGTGTTCAGAGGGAAAGCACACGTGTACGGCGTTACGGCCATCCATGACCCTGGATGGATGGGTGGCACGGAGTGTGGTGGTGGGGGCCGGCCGGGGGAAATGCTCCTCCTCCCCTTTCCGCCTTACTCGCCTGTTGGTTCGCTGGACTCCAATGTCGGCATATAGTTGACCCCCTTAGTTCTTCCTGCACCATTATACAGACAGACAGACAGACACACACACACACACTCAAGCTTCCCTTTTTCCACACCATCCTGCCTGCCGACGTTTCCTTCCGCATGCTTGCCTGACGCTGGCCGTCACTTGCCTTTGCCGACGAAACCCCGCCCCGCTGTCGCTCATGATCAACCCCCCACACGCCCCGCCGGCGCAGATGTCCGTTCGGCTATACAGGTAGGGGCTGGCTGGTGAAGGCAGGGGGGGGCTGAGCGGCATTGGGTTGCATTGAGTGATGGCGTGGGGGGGGGGTAAGGGAACGGTGCTTGTGAAGCCAAGGAACAGGAGGGGTTGTGCCTAAACTACCGAGGCCCAAGATGTTTCCTGTAATCGGCCCTTGCTCCGAAGCCTCTTCCGGGCCCCCCGTTCGTGGTTCGTCTTTCCCCCTTTCTCACTCCGAACCACTAACCGCTTGTAGGGGTTCTAGGCCCCCTTCCCCCCGCCCCCATCCCGCCGCACCCCTGCAACCCATGTCCTCTCTCCCCCCGTCCCACCCCGCCGCCTGGCGCTGTTTGAGACTCACTGGACCAGCAGCAGCTCGGACTTTGGACGTTTGTTTATAATTGGTCCTTTTGCGCCTCCCCCTTCCCCCGCTCCCCATCCCCCCGATCCCCCTCCCCCTTGTGCGCACACGCACACCCCTCTCTCCCTCAGGCCCCACCTGCGAGGAGCCCCTCCTGTCCGGCTGCCAGCGGGGCCCCGGTCTGGAGCCCTTCTTCGGAGTGCTGGTCTCCAGGAACTGCGAGTGCCTCAGGCAGGCGAACAGATTCTTTGGGTGCTCGCCAAATGTACGGAGGGTTTGGGGGGAGGGGGCCTGAGGTGTCGGGACCTCGGGGGTCCCGAGGGGTAGAGGGGTGTGGCGGAAGAGGAAAGGAAAGGAACGGAACGGCGCCCTCTAACTCACGTGGGATGTAAGGGGAAAGAGAGAAAGGGGAAAGAGGCACCTGGCCTGCGGCTGTTACCAACCCTAACACAAATTCTTTTGGCCCCCTATCCCCTCCGCCACCAACACCCCCACCA